ATCACAGAATCTCATCTCAACCAAGAATTCTCATTTTGGATTCAGGGATACAAAACCATCAAAGCAGGCAGACACAACTCGAAAGGAGGAAGAGTAATAATACTAATAAAAAGCAGTTTACCACATCACCAAATTACTCTACCACACTCCCCGGACTCGGCCCGGACTCGAAACATCAGCAGTAAATGTAAAGTATAATAATAACCGAACAATAACAGTAGTGACTGCTTACAAACCTCCAAATATAAAAATCAAAAGAGCAACATCTCCACATTACTACAACTACCAAATCTATTCATTATTGCAGGCTAAACTCTTAAACACCACTCATGGGGATGTCGGGCTACGAATCCTGCTGGTAAATACTTATACAACATAAAAAGGAACCTGAATCTGAACATATTATCGCCAACCGAACCCACTTACTTTCCATATGATCCAAACAGAAGTCCAGACATACTTGATATAGCAGTCACAAATATTAAAATATAATACATATCTATATCGTACCATGAACTAGAATCAGATCACTTACCAGTAATTATATCAATTCGTCTAGAAATACCTCCCCCAACTCTCCCACCCACGGTAAATATTTATAGCATTAAGTGGAAGTACTTATAAAATTAATTGTTCAATATACACACTGCAGATATTCCTATTTCAGCACAAATAAACACCCCTCAATTTGCCAATGACTCTGCACTGAGGGAACTTTTTAATATTATTTTTATATAATTGTAATGTGTATACTTTTTAGTTGGTGTACGTTAGAATAAGATAGATTAAAACCATCACACATTTGCACGGTTAATACGTAAAATGAACAATGTAAGGTCTACTAAAAATAAAATTACTACGTAATTAGTGCAAAGACGTTACACTAATTTAATACCATAGTATTTTTAATACTATTAAAATTCTATAATTTCAGCGATTATGTGAATTGATTTGTTTTCTAATCAAATACTGCAATCTTTAATACAGTTCTTTTTAAAGGAACGGGTTGATTTTATATTATTAAAATGGGGAGTTTGGGGTGCCATAGCCACCCAATAATAACAGTTTAAGTAGAAAGTGTTAGTAAAATATACTGCGGATTCTAGAGCGCATAAAAATATGTTAAGTAGATAAGTTGCCTTTTTTGGCAATAAAATATGGGCTTTGAAAGTTTAGTAGCATGTGAATGTTAAATATAAATTATAATTATTGCGATAACATGGTGAAAATTACAACACGCGAATTGTAAACAAGGATTCAGTTCAGTGAGTCCATTCCCCTCTAGTAAACCAGATCAGTGAACCCAAGAAACCGGTGCCACCCTAAACTCCGGATCTACCAAAATTAAAATTAAATCAGCAGCGCGATTCACTTGGTAATTCAATTATTCACTTAAAAATGGCAACATCAGTGTTGCTAACGTTGTGAAAGAATATTATGGCACATTCAGTGAAAATTTCCTTTCGGTAGTGTAGTTGAATCAACGTCACTTACATGAACCTCTTTAGGTGGCGTTGGTTTGATTTCCGGCATATATTTAACTAATATCGTAGCGTCAGAACACGAAAAAACACGTTTTTGCACATTTCTTTGAATTTTATGGTCTGATCCGAAAACAAATTATCAGTTCCTAATCGGCGGATCGAGACGCTTCGATTGACAACTCATATGCCTCGACTGGTGTACGGAAAGAGGTCTAACTGGATCCGCACACACGCACACCACGAGTTACTCAATTTTGTGTTGGAATATACCATTGCATTTCTTGTTAATTATGTGGCTAGGTCGAACGATTTGAGCCATTACAATACCTACATCCTACCGCGTTCTAAGCTATCGAATTCTGTCATTTACTCCAAAAGGTCTCTCTACCACATGAAAGCAGTGGAAAAGAGACCGAAAGAGGGAAAACCTGCCGTCAGAAGACGAGCCAATGCTACGCATTCTCCTTTCAGTTGTTGGCCTTCTCAGCACCTGAAATCAATCAACCACTTACATCAATCATGCACTTCTCCATCACTAATGTCGGGAGACCAATCGGGAGCATAAAACTATTCCCGGCAGGAGCAGCGCCCAGCTTGGGGGAGACACCTGCAGGGGGTAATCCCCTGCAAGCTGATGAGTAGATTCTGCGCCGGACCTCACCATCCTGCGGGGAAGGAATTACCGCTACTTTCCGGGATAAAAAAAATATTCGCTACACTTATGATATTAATGACCTTAGCATTTGCCGTGACCAAAACATTAATCAATCAATGAACAACGCCATAAGGTTTCAATTCTAATGTCTAATTAAATATTAAAGGAATGATTTATTATCAATATTGAATTATTAGATGTTCTATATTAGATTATGGTGTAGTGGAGAAAATATGTACTTGGGGTAAACGTAATCTCATTTTAAAAGTGTGGTAATATGAGGGATTGTAAATTGTACGAACGTGTAGAAGAAATATTGGGTGCAATCAATTGTCTGGACTGCCTCCACCAAAAACGGATCAAAAAATCCTAAACGATTTTCGACGGTCTTAAACTACTATTTTTTTACACATTTGTCCCAACAGCGAAACATGGCCTTATAGGAATCTCAAGCACACTACACATTTGCCCCACAGTCTGGGGTAATGTGTACTAGAGAAGTTGTTTCAAAAACATTGATAAAACCATGGAAAATTCATTTTGTTAAACATTTAGGGGGTGATTTCTAATCCAGAATAAGTTATAAATGATAAAACTAAGGATATATATATTTTACTTTTTAGTTAATGTAGACCCACTAGAAACCGACAAAGTTGAATTCTGCTAAAAATGGCATGCGATTACTCCCCTCAACCGTATAATTATTCTACATGAACGTTATAAAAACGACCTTTGAGTTCCCGGACGTTCTTCATTTCTAATTCCATTTTTCGAAACCTCTCACCTCCCGGTCATCCCTCTTTGGAATGACTTCCCTCCCCAAGCTGCTGCAGCGGAGCCTTCGCGACGCAGGGCCTGATAAGCTGTTGGACACGGCTGGCCACTTGGTGCTCTGACGAATGACAGTGCAGTCTCGGCTCTGCAAGTCGTATGGTGCATCGTCTGAAGTGAGATGAAAGCAACTTGCAGAGAGATTATTTTAAATGGATTTTCAGAGCTCTACGCCAGCATAAGGTATATAATTTAAAAATGCCGATAATGTGCATTTAAACTAAAAATGTCTTCGGTTTTTCTTTTCATAAGATCTCTGAAGCTCAAATGCGGTTTAAGCTTTTATTTGCTGTTGAAGTTTTTAGTTATTTGCTCTAAAAACGCAGTAGAATCAAAATGTTACATTAAATCACGTTTTAAACTCCTAAAATACGCTAGTCACGTTGTACTGGCAAAAAGTTCAGTTCAAGCTAATTTACTCATTTTCTTTTGGGCACGAGAGAGTTGGAAGTGGTATGTGACAGTAGTCAGTCAAATAGGCATTTGTCTTAAAATGTTCAGTAATGTGTCTCTAACGTAATTGAAACATCTATAATATTGTCGTCTGTCGAAGGCCTATTATAAGAGAATGTATAAATATATAAACGAATAAAAGGGAATGTGCGTATGTGTGTCACACATAGAAATACTACTCGACCGATTTCACTGAAATTATTGCACTTTGTTCTTATTAGTAAAAGGAGTTCTTAAAGAGTAGTTTGAATTAATCGGACATGTGAGGGCGTTGATGATTTATACGTTTATGACGTCTCAAGCGCCCCTCATCTCTACGCCACTTGTCACACAATCAAGCACTAAGGGCGTATTCACTGCATCCAAGTATGGGATTAAAAATATCGGCCGATGTTATTATTTGAATCCCGGACAAGTAAATCAAATTTCTCATAGATCGTATCGTAGCAAACGCATGCCCAAATTTGAAGAAGAACGTTTAAACAAATGGAAACTTGACAACCATGTGCAAACCTTGACAGAGCACAAACACATACTTCCAAGAGAATCTTTCATCTATTGGAATATTTGCGCACGTGCCCAATAGTGTGTGATGTGTAATACACTGCAATAGCGAAACGTTGCCGGGCCTACTAGCTACAAATATAATAAACACCACGAAATAAAATAGATATAATATTTGCCCTTGCAACAGTCTTCCATCATCTCTTAAGACATGGATACTTCAAAAAATGTGTTGTCATCCTCGCAAACTGATAGTAAAAGAATGCATTGATAGAATTTAAACTATATTCCTTTAATCGACTTATTTGATACCTTCATGTTTTTTCAATAAACCTAATAGTCGACTCGTATCTCTCGGTGACATTTATCTTAAGTATTTGTCGAAGTCTATTTTGGTATTGATTCTACATATGACAATAGGGATATATTCGATGTGTTTTACTCTACTTATTTCTGACAAAATAAGTTCAACAAACTTCAAATATATAATGTAAATGTTATTTTTATGCCCATTGGGCAAACAACACATGGTTAACAAGTGAAGAAAATATACAAATACGATTAATTTCTTAATTTATTGTACCAAATTGTATGGAGCCCTCAACACAAATTTAACTTTAATATATCAACAAAAGCATTTTAAAACATATTTTAATAATGAAATAATCATTTTATTATTAACATTTCTTATATTTGAAAACTATTTTCATTTTTTGTCGTAAGAAACATGCAATATATAATTCAATAATTATAAACTCATTTAGTACAATTTGGCTTCAATTTCATTATTTATTTGTTTTGAGTATGTATTATAATTCTATACAAGTTCTCACAATCACTTTAGGTGTTGTGAAAACAAAAAATGGCAGTAAACCTTAGATGTTCGCGAAAACAGGATTTTTCGTACATGGAAAAAATGTCTCATTTCTTTACATTTTATCAATTATCTTTTCTAATAAGGTGACTTCATGCACCTGGCTAAATGGCTCTTCTTGCAAAATGAGTTCATCTACTCGTATGTTCTTATAGTTAAATACATGGTACATCATATTTATAGAATTGACATAGTACATTCATATTGATAATATGAAACATTTCATTTTCACTTTGTGAATAATAATTAAATGACACTGCATTGAATTGGATGGCACATTGCTTGGTAACATAATATTAGCGTTGATTGATTGTTCAACAATACTAACTTAGGCTTCAAAGTTGCTCAAATGGAAATTAAGTATTATAATGTTTTTCACTGCTCTTCGTCACTATAAACAGAGGTCAGTATATTCTGCTACTTTCTCTCAGATAAAATATCGTTCACGCTTGAAGCACCCAATAATCGAGGAAAGGTAAAGTCGAACACGTACAATAATACTTCTCAGTTCATTTGTTGCCTTCAACTTCTTATATAGCACACATTAATTTATTGAACCGCGTGTATATTAATCACGCATGTATATCAATTCATGCATAAAGGCAACGAAATAATGTATATGAAGTTTTTCTTTGCGACGTGTTGCTTCATTTCTTTTGGATTTTCTCCTAAAGCGGAGCCATGGTTATCTTCCGCCGTGTGCAGCACAAGAGAGACAAGTGAAGCGCAATGCAAATGACGATCGCTGGCAGTGTCACGTGCACTACCAGCCTCGCAGCGCCGCTTGTTCGGAGGCGATGCCGCCTCCGTGGGCTGCGTACTGCATTTCGACGGGCAGGTACCCGTCCAGCGACGGGCAAACGGCTTCCAGCTCCTGTTTGGAAGGAGGGTGAAATTATTTAAACTGAACTGTTGCAAACATAATTAAATGAAAAAAATGTTTATATTTGTTACACAGTTGTTTCTATGTGATGTGAGAAATAATGCTAGTAATTTCATTTTAAAATGAAAAGCACAAAGAAGTTATTACTATTGTCCTCACAAAATGCATTTTACTTCCTTATTCTTTTAATATAATTTCATTATTCATCATTCGAAACAGTGAACACATTGTGACGTTAAGCACAAGAAATACCAATTACAGTAAGATATAAGAGAAAACAATTTTAATTAATTAATATTGTATTGTATTAATATTGTAAAATATATTAATTAATGTTTGGCAAACAATTGGAGATTAGAATAGTGGCAGGATTTAATAGAAAATCAAAATTAAAGTGGATTTTAAATGTTCAAATCCAAAGTACACTCGTTTTTTTATCAAAATGAAATAATGTTTGCTGAATACCAAGTTATCATGCATCCTACAATAAAATGTAATGCAAGTGAACAAAATATCTCGTCTCAGATGAAGTTTCCTCAAAGATAGCGCGAGAAGCTCGATTGAGTTGAACGATCCGTAGTTTGCCTCTTGGCCTCTTGTAACAACGAGGTTCATGTACACAATAGCCAGTTAGTCTCGATTTTGTTCCCACGTCCGCCATGTCTGTCCCTTTATAAAAATCGCAATTTGGAACGAAAAAGGTAATTTCATGTCAATAATTTTGTTGTTTAGTTTGTTAACAAAGATGTTTAGTTCGTTGGCTCGTTTAGCAAAGAGATTCTCAATTGCTCTGGAACTTTTGTGGCAAAGTTAAGAACAACACCGAGATACATCGTTTATATAATAGTATAAACTATAATTTACCAACGCCATAAATCTCATATTCTATTCGAAAGTGATTGGAAATCGAACGAATAAGATCCAAAGTTATCTTCTAGATGAAAACTCGAAATTATCTCAGTTTTCATAGGTCAAGTCAGAAATTGTGTTACATGAAACTCCAAAATATTCAATAAATTACTTCAAACTCGGCAATCTCCATATTTCAGTTACACGCACTTTTGCATCTTTGTTGACCAGATCTTTTGCTGCAAAACTGTAAACCATAAACTTATTCATCCAAATAAGTGTGTATGAAAGCATCGAGCTCGACGGTAAACTAGTCAAATGGATTTCGGCCTCTGTAGCAAATGAAAACTGGAGTGTGCTGGTTTTGCAACTAGCCCCCTTGCTAAACTATCACCATGCCATCTGTCATTTATTACGATTTGGGTGTGAAGGAAGAGACCGTAGAAACGACGATAATTAATGACATAATCGTTATTTTGGAGGAACCGGAAGCAGTGATATACTGTAGTTACAGAAATAAACAAGGTAGATTCAATTAGCATGTATTGACGTGGTATCTACATGGATATCTTGAGAAATGCAGGTCAAGAATACACCGTATTTTCGCATATGAATTTTGGTTGTTGTGTTGCTTTCCTAAAAAAATATATTTGTATAACACCTTAGTTACGGAAACAGAGTAGTAGATTGTCCCTTCGGCGTATCTGCGTTTTGAAATACAGATTGTGATGCCTTCGTAGGGTACCTTTGGGTGTACGTAAAATGCTATAGGGTCCATTGTGATGTACCAAATGTGTTTGGCGACGTACAAAAATATTCTATAGTGTCAAAGACATTGATGAGAAATGGATAGTCAGATAGGTGAAAGCACATTTTTTTTAATAAAAAAAGATCAGTAGTAAGCTAATGTATCTCTTAATTTGAGACAATCCATTTAATTGGATGAAAATTATTTATTTACTCATCTGTATTCTCTGTAATCAAATGTCAAATTTGTCTGTCTCTCAAAACGTCAAATACCAACTTTATTGTCTATCTCAGATTAAGAGGAATACATAAACTGTCATGTGTAGGCCTGTACATTTTAAGCATAGCAAGTTGTTCACAGGAGGTCTCGCATATCAATACGATACCCAAGTTTCTCCATCCGTGTATAACGTTTAAGCACGTTTCTGGCTTTTTCAAATAGCGCAGCGTGTTACTTTGGCCTCCAACGTGGTGTTGTTTAGTTTGTGTAAATTACGATAGGTGGCACCAACGTAAGAAACAAAAGTTTATTTATTCCATGATTTCAACTCACAAACGTCATTTCTTACGTCAGTTTTATTCTACATCGCATTTTATATTAAATTAATAGTTTCAATAGTTTTTTAATTTTTAATTCTGTATTATCTATTAAATGCAATTTTCTATGTGTCAAATGTTTATAATTTCTGTGCAGATGGCCTACCGAGATACACTTTTCGCTACAGAGTAACTTGATTCTTAATGATCCTCCTGTAGACCGTCTGTATAACTATGATACACATCGTTTAAAGCATGCCTGACCTGCCTGAAAAAATAATTCAATTTATACCTAGCAGTCAAAGTGATGCTACATAAAGCGATTACTAAAAGAAGAGACCGCTTTGACAGCTATTGCTTGGCCAGAGCTGGCAATATAACTGCAAGTTACGTCCAGAGCCCCGTGTGTTCGTTTACAGTTAGCTCATTTGCAAATGGTTTTATCGCTAACAATCGCAATGTCATTGTTCTGCATGACATTCATTTGTTTCCCGAACTGTCAAAGTGGCCTCTTCTTAGAGGAACTCCTCTTTAATAGATAATCATAAATCCCCTTAAAAATACTACCTGCTTGACGGCCACGGGGTAGGCGGGCGGTGCGGGCTGTGGCGGCGGCTGCACGCAGTAGTTGTAGTACGGGGCGGGCTCCTGGCCCGGCGGCGCCGCGCTGCACGGACGGCCGTCCCGCACGAGGACGGGGACGGCGAAGCGGCGCGGCACTGGCCGTCCGCCCGCCCCCGCACCGCCGTTCCGCCCCCACGCCGCCCCCGCCGGCCCCCGCGCCGCCGCCCGCGCCCGCCGCCGCCCCCGACTCGATGAGGGTGCGTTGACGCTTGTTCTTGTAGCGCCGGTTCTGGAACCAGATCTTTACCTGCGGAAACGAAGATATTTACGCTTTAGTATGTTAATCCTCAGCTAAGCGCTTAGAGGCAAGTTACATAATATAGAGGCGTGCTGCTTAACCCTTGCTTTTCCTTTTGTTTGTATGTATTTGGCATTTTGGGTCGATTGTCCGACTTTACCGGCTATCTAACGGTGTTCTCTGTGCCCGGGCCTACTGTAATTCCCATTCTTCAAATTGGGGGTAAGACAGGCATGTGAAGAACATGACCTGATCCATTCACCGTAACTAGCAAACTTCGCGTGCCTGAGCTTTTCTTTGTCATACTGCTGCGAAAACCGAGTCACTTTTAAAGGAAAGCTTCAACTCTATTCGAGTCTGGGTTTTCTTTTATTTTACTTTTTATTCTTGATATAACTTACTAATGAGTTCCTCCAAAAAATGTGGTACTTGGCTAATTGTTAAGTGATAATAGTTATCAATAATTATCATCATAAGAACCATGATGAATAATTACCAATTATTGGTAATGGTAAAGTCGTTTAAAACATTATTACCGTTTTCATGTTATAAATTTACATCTATAAAAATTCGTTCATTATGGTTTGTCTGTTAGACAAATCATTAATATTAAGCAGATATGCACATTTTGGGTGATCATAGGTTATATCCTAGAATAGGAACGAGCTAAAGGCTAACGAGAAAAGCTTAGAGAGAATAGACAAATTTTTAATGTATCTCTACAGGAAGCAATGAGGCAACATTTTTAATACGATTTCAAACCTTTACGAAATCTAATACAGTCTTACAATTTACTTCTTCAATTTAATAGTTAGGAAACGTAATTTGATGTAATTGCTTCTTAGCTGTAGACAGAACTATTAGTGGAACTGAAATATAATTTTGAAATATTAATCGCCCTGTATTTGATGTCGAAAAATTGGAAGAACTTAAGCTAAAGAATAAATTTCTGTGATTAGATCCTCGAAAATGTGTATTTTAATCAAAGTTATTGAACTGGTTAAATTAAAATGAACGTGACTAATTACATAGAGCGACATTGGGAATGGCACCACGAAATTCGATATGTATCAATCAAGGTTTACAAGTGAAAAAATGTTATTCAATCTCTTCGTATTTCTCATCCTTGAATACATGGTGAGTCTTCTATGACAGTGTTCTTCTGAAGAAAATCAAATTCAATATTATAATAATTTTTTGCATTATGTGTGTGAAACATCCTTTTAATAAATTTTATTAAATTATTATATAAATCTAAACTATAAATATTTAATCGGCATTACTCCCATTTCAGCTTCCTAACGACATCGGAATTGTAAATGTGTTTGTTTTCCGCGCAGGCCCATTACAAAACAACCCCCGCGAAATTTAATTCACCCCTCCGCGAATAAAATGCAGAGTTAAATTCCCCGCTAAAAGCAGCGCCCACGTGGCCTCGGTGGCGCCACCCTCCTCGCAGACTCTGGGCGCCGCGTACTCTTTACCTAAAAAATGGACATTTTCCCTCGTATTCGCCACGGGGATTGTACTTTTTAATAATAAAACTTCCCCCCTCCCCTCCCCCAGGCGATCCCACGGCGCGTCGGCGGGGAGCCGCGCGCGGGGGTGAGTTGGGGAATTAGTAGGTGCGGGGGTGGTCCTGGCGTCAGGGGTCGCTGGCGGGGGTGGCGAGGGTGAGAGAGAGTCGGGAGAAGGCTGATGCTGCGGCGAGGGTGCTGGAGGCAGCGGTAGGAGGGATGTTCATTGGAAGGGAGGGTGACGATTGTGGAAGTGGTGGCTTCGGAAAGAGCAGCGCGGTTGCCAGGGCAACACAGGCAGATTCTGTGCGAGAGCGTGGAGGCGCCTGTTGGATGCAGGGTTTTAGCGGGCCGTGGCGGTGCCAGAGAGGGCAGCGGCGAGGGCGACGGGGGCGAGGGGGGCGACTGTGAGGGGGGCGGCGAAGTGGCCGGCGGGGGCGGGGCGGGGGCGGTCCGGGCAAGGTGCGCAGGCGGGTAGGCAGGCAGGCGGCAGGGCCGGGTCGGGCCGGGCGGCGCGCAGCGCGACGGCGCGGCGGCAGGCGGGCCAGAAGGCTGGCGCGATCTCTCACTCTCGAGTTCCCCATCTCCTCTGCGCCACCGTCTCGGGGCGGGGGCGCCGCGGACGCGTCGCGCCGCCAGCTGCAGGCTGTTGGGGATGGCGGGGGCGGCTCCCCGGCGCGCCCGGCGCCAACCGGCCGCGCGCCCATTCGCACGGCGAACACGCACGCTACTCGCCCGACCGCCCGCAACCGCCGCCGGCCGCACCGCCGCACGCCGCACGAGCAGCACCGTGCGAACGTCCGAACGTCGAACGTCTCGAACGTCCGAACCGTCGAACCGCGAACCGTCCGAACCGTCCGAACCGTCGAACCGTGCCGAACCGTCGCGAATAAGTCCGAAGTCGAACCGTCGAACGTCCCGAACCGCTCCGAACCGTCGAACGTCGAACCGTCCGAACCGTCGAACCGTCGAAACCGTCCGACCGGCCCGCCCCACGTCCGAACGGCCGTCCACGTCCGAACCGCCCGCCCCACCGTCCGAACGCCCGCCCCACCGTCCGAACCGCCGCCCCACCGTCCCGAACCGCCCGCCCCCACCGTCCGGAACCGCCGCCCCAGTCCGACCGCCCGCCCCACGTCCGACGCCGCCCGCCCCACCGTCGAACCCGCCCCGCCCACCGGTCAGAACCGCCCGCCCCCACCGTCCGAACGCCCGCCCCACGTCCGAACCGCCGCCCAACGTCGAACCGGCCCCAGTCCGAACGCGCCCCCTACCGTCCGAACCGTCCGCCCACGGTCCGAACAGCCCGCCCCACGTCCGAACCGCCGCCACGTCCGAACGCCCGCCACCGTCCGAACACGCCCAGCCCCGCGTCCGAACGTCCGAATGCCCGCCACCAACCGTCCGAACCGTCGAATCCGACCGCACACGTCGAAACGCCGCCCCACGTCGAGACGCCGCCCCGCACGTCCGAACGCCGCACCGTCCGAACCGCGCTCCCACCGTCGAACCGTCCCGAACGGGCTTTTCGCCCCACCGTCCGAACCGTCCGAACCGGCCCGCCCCCACCGTCGAACGTCCGAAACGCCCCGCCCACCGTCCGAACCGTCGAACGCCCGCCCCACGTCGAACCGTCCGAGACCGCCCGTCCCACCGTCCGAACGCCCGCCCACGTCGAACTGCCGGCCCACCGTCCGAACGGTCCGAACTGCCGCCCCAACGTCAGTAACCGTCCGAACGCCCGCCCCACGTCCGAACCGTCGCACCGCCGCCCCCACGTCAGAACGTCCGACCGCCGCCCCCACCGTCCGACACCGGCCGCCCCCACCGTCGAACCGCCGCGCCACCGTCGAACGCCGCCCCACGTCCGAACGCGCCCACGTCCGAACCGCCGCCCCACCGTCCGAACGTCCGAACCGTGCCCCACCGTCCGAACGTCCGAACCGCGCCGCCCACCGTCCGAACCGCTCTGCGCCCAGCACGTCCGAACGTCCGCCCACGTCGAACGTCCGAACCGTCCGAAAAAGCCCGCCCCGCTACGTCCGGAACCGCCCGCGCCCCACCGGTCCGAACCGCCCGCCCCACGTCCGAACCGCTCCGCCCACCGTCCGAACCGCCCGCCCACCGGTTCGAACGCCGCCCACGTCCGACGCCGCCCCACGTCCGACCGTCCGAACGCTCGCCCCCACCGTCCGAACCGTCCGAACCGCCGCCCCACGTCCGGAACCGTCCGAACGGCCCGCCCCCACCGTCCGAACCGATCCGCAGCGCAGCCCCCACCGTGCCGAACGCCCGCCCCACGTCGCGAACCGCCGCCACCGTCGACCGCGCGCCCACCCGTCGAACCGTCCGAATGCCCGCCCCCACGTCCGACCGTCCGAACGCCGCCGCCACCGTCTCGAAACGTCCGAACCGCCGCCCCCAGCCGTTCCGAACCGTCCGAACCGCCCTGCCACGTTCGAAACGTCGAACCGCCCGCCCACGCGGTCCGAACCGCCCGCCCCACGTCCGAACGGGTCCGACCGCCGCCCCAATCGTCCGAACCGTCCGAACGCCGCCCACCGTCCGGAACCGTCCGAACCGCCGCCACGTCGAACCGCCCGCCCGCTCGCACCGTCCAACCATCCATTTTAACCATCTGATACTGCGCGACTGATCATCTGAACGACAGTCGCTACCTGTGTGTACGACCAGCGTCACCGCGACGACGCCGAGCATGGTTAATAAATGGAAACGTATTTCGATCCTCATAATTTTAGGATGTCACGACGCTAAGCTGCGGTGCTGGGAAAGTAGTTCGAATGATTGGCAATTATTTGCTTATGTTTACCTGAATAATCTTGACTTACATGTGGATGAGAATATACGAGAAATTGAAGAACTCCGAAGAAAATTGCCATGAGTCGATGGAATGCTGCATATCTTCGCAGAATCGAAGGGATTGAACAGTTACCCGTTACTGGGATTGTGGGTTGAAGATCTGCTAACAGGTCGCTTTCTAAAAATTTTTTGTTGTTTCACAAGATAATACGAGTAGCTATATTGTTTCATAACAACTGTTCTTTATATTTGATTAAAGCAAACAGTCTCTGGTTCATACCGTAAATATTGTACCACATCACCTTTCGCACACCACGTCTTTACTATAAGCGGCCCACAATTCAAAATAGGTCGGCACATCAACCGCCGCTCGCTACATACCCGACAGCCTCATCTCATCTCCTAGTGTGTCTGCTCACCGCGTCCCCACGTGCACTCCACACGACGCCCGCGCCCGATCCCTCGGCGCCCTTGTGGCAGGCGGAGCAAGACGAGGTTCGTGGTGTTCCTCTCAATTTCTATTTCTCCGATCACTCTAATTATATATTTGGTAAAATCTCTTACCATGTAGGGAGAGTCAAGGCAATGTAGGTTATGGGTTGTAATAATAATTATCTCTGGCTGACGGATCACCTGTCGCCTTCCCTCTTCCCTCTCCCCATCACCGCAAGC